ATTATATCAAATATTACCAAAATCCAACTAGTGGTCTATTAACAATGCTGCGTTCTGATTGGTTGAGCTACTACAAGGCTACATGTTGTAGCCCACTAGTAGGGAAAAGCGCCGGCTTTGAAAACCAAAACAATGGAGGCTGATCGCGTTTTGCTAGCTTAAGTTGTTTTGTCTCGATATTTTTGACCAACTAGTTAGATTTTACTAAAACAATTATTTATCTCCCCTTCATGGTCTCTTTAACAATTATTCCACGAGGGTGCGTTGGATATGAGATGATAGATAGCCAACGAGGCGCATAGCGCCGAGTTGGCTATAATCATTTCATATCCAACAAGCCCGAGTGGAATAATTGTTTTATTAAAAACGCCCACAAAATCTCGTTGAATCGCCCCGACTAGAACAAACCGGAAAAGACAAGGGACTTCCGCTATTCACATGTCACACGTCTATCAAAACTGTCAACGCGCGAACGGACTCGCCTAGACTGCATGAATGAAAAATCAAAACATTGTAGCGATGAACATTAGTTTTTTAAAAACTCATCGTGATTCTAGGATTTTACACAGCAGAACAGCTTAATAAACCTGGCAGATAATGTGAAGGAAAGGAATTTTTAGGTGACAGCCGTCGAAATTACTATGAATTTGGATTTTCGGTGCAGTTATAAAAGTAAGAACAACGGAGAAAAACTACCGGTATTACCTCGGTCGCTTGTTATGACGGTTGTTTGAAGCCACAAGCTGGTTTTGCTGAACGAGAAAAGAAGCTATACTGCCGCCTCGATTGCTCTAGTGAATGGCTGCATAGCCTGTATTTGTTGCTGGTTACTTGTGATTTATATTCTTGATGTCGGATAAACAAGCTGCAGTTATTTATCGGCGAGTGACTCGATCGGCGAATGGCTTCGCGATCATGAAGAAACAACACTCGTCTTCTTTCGTAGCTGGTCAAGGTACTTTTAGTTCCATGTGTTTTCCTGTGTTTTTCGACAAACTTTCAAACAAGCTCTTGTGGCTTTTTTGTTTGTTTTTGTCTTTTTTCTTTCGTTGAAATTGCATCTCTAGTATTCCAAGAAATGAATTAAAATGATTTGCTTCGGGCGCCGTTCTATCCTTCGCGAAAAAAAATCTCAGCTAGCTTCCAATTTTAAACTGACGCGCGCGTACACCGACCATATATGGAGAACATGGTATATTAGCTCATATACCATAACGGGTAAGCCAATCAAAATGCTAGAATTGCATTATCCAATGATTCAGTTTTTAATAATAGTCAATAGCCCATTCGGCCTTCGTTCTCATGGGCTATTGACTCAGAGCCCATTCTGGCTCGAGGAATAACTGTTTAATATCCAGGTCATTTTTGGAGTTGGTGTTAACAATGAATTAATTACTGAAAAATGCTGATTAAAATGCAAGTGTTTGATCTGAGATCAAAAGCATGTTTGATCTCAGTTAAAAAAACCCATAAGATTTTCATCTGAGTGTTCATTGCGTATCAAGCCGTTCATGCACGTGACCCAAATATGCCTCATTTATTGGCCGTTGCCTTCATGAATAATTAATGAGTTTGAGACAGAATGTGTCCTTTTTTTTCAAATACATCACGGGTCTAAAGAGGTGAACCAAAACAACAAACCTATACCGGTGTAGGTATTACTCGATGGAATATAAATTTAACTCACAGTTTTCATCATCCGCTAATTACGCAAACATTGGTTTTTCATTGTAGAAATACTGTTGATGAATTAGAATCTGAGTTTATTTAAGCCTTCTTGACAGTATTAATGAAGAAAGAGTAGCCGCGGATGAAAGCCCGGCGAACGCGCCTTTTTTCCATCCTCGGCAAATGGTCGCTAATGGAGGTTGGCCGCTTAACAGAGGTTTTTCATAAATTCAAAAACTCATTAATAATTCATTAAAAAAACCCAAATGAAATTGACGTTTAAATTGTGTCTTTGTATCTGATAAAGACACGGCTAAACTTTACGTCCAATTTTTTACACCAAATTAACCCAAATATAAATATTAGTACAAGAATGACTTGATCTATATCCGAGATTTTTAAGCCGTTCAAACAACGCGCAGTCGTGTATTATTAGGTTTAAAACTCGAGTTTTTAAACCTGATAATACACTCCTGCTAGTTTTTTAAACAGTACTGACTTTATAGGGGTAGCACAAATACTGGTAACCCAGTGGTTTTAGTGTGGCCAACAAATCATGCCAGAAACAGACACTTGAAAATAAAAATAACAGGTAAGAATCACAACTGGCTCGAGGCAAAGAAAATAGCTATTTACAAGCGTGACCGAGGAGTAGAACACGGAAGTACCGAGAAAAAAGCCAGCTCAGTAGCGGTTAGCGAGGGAATATGAACTCGGGGCCTCTATAACCGTTCGAGCAGTTTGAGGAAAGCCGTCTTTGGGTGCCCCTGTTTCTTGATCAGACGAAGCGATCTTTTGAAATACTGTCTCAGCAGAGAGACTTCTTCAATTT